CTCCCATGTAGTCTTCCTGCTTTTTGGTTCAGTCTATGTGAGTCCCTATGAGCACAGTGCAGTTGAGTCTGTGGTTTTCTTATGGTATACTTGGTGCCTCTGATGCTCACAATCATTCTTCCCCTCTTCCACAGGATACCCCAAGGCTTTCCTAAGGTTTGGCTGTGTGTCTTTGCACATTTCTACCTGTAACATAAGGGCCGGTTTGTTGGGGTTTCTGTCCCGTCTGATACCCGACAGCCGGCAAGTCCCAATTAAATCACACAGAGTCTACATTAGGTTATAAGCTGATTGGTTCATTAGCTCAGTCTTCTTATTAACTAATTCTTACATCTTATGGTAACCCATAATTCTTGTCTGTACATGTGGCTCAGTACCTTGTCCAGGGGGACAGGTTACATCTTGCTTCTCTGTGGTCTGGGCAGGAATGGAGGAATGGACTTCCTCCTTCCTAGCCTTCTCCTGTTCTCATCGCCCTGCCTCTATTTCCTGTCTGGTTGACCCACCTGTACTTCCTGCCTGGCCAATCAGTGTTTTATTAAAATATGATTGACAGAATACTGCACCACTTCCCTCTGGTGTCAGAAGTGGGATTCGAACCGAATAATTTCATTGACATTTTTGTCAATCATATTCAGCTCTAACCTAGGTCTCTGGGCTGTCCAACCTCAGGCAGTTTTAGGGGTGGAATCCCTCTCATGGCATGGGTCTCAAACTGAGCCAGTCATTGATTGTCCATAACCATTTCTTCTGTATCACCTTTATGTCAATATCTCTTACAGGCAATGCAAATTGTAAGCCAGACATTATATGATAGGAATGGGCTCTCAATCCCTCCACTAAATGTCTTGCTTAGTTACAGGAAATAGCCTGTTGAAACTCTGTATCCCCTATTGCTAGAATTATGGATAAGGTCACTCTCATTGATTTCTGGGAGCTTTCATTGCACTAGGTTTCTAACTCAGACCACAAATGACCCTCACTCCAGTTGTCTTTCTCAGTACTTTCTTCTGTCATCTTCCCCAAACCTGATTGCTCCTGTTCCCATGCCCACATACCCCAATCCACCCATAATGACTACTCTATATCCCATTCACAGTGAAATTTGCTGTGCAACCCACCTGATTTTGAGCCCTCCTTGTTACTTAACTTCATGGTCTATGTATTGAAGTACAGTTATCCTTTCATTTATGGCTAAACTTCATCTATATGTCAGTACATATGTTTCTTTCTGGATTGTGTTATCTCACTCTGAATGATATTTTCAAGTTCCATCCACTTTGTGGAAAGTTTACTGATGTCCTTGATTTTACCAGCTCCACACTACTTCATTGGGTAAATTTACCAAAATTTCTTTATCCATTCTTCTTGTGATAGATGTCTATGTTGTTTCCAGTTTCCAGCTATTATAAATAAAGCCACTATGAACATAGTTGAAAAGGCCATCTGTGGTGGTCTGGAGCATCCTTTGGGGTAGGATTGAGTATAATCCCAAGAATAGCATAGCTGGCTCTTGATATAGGTCGATTATCCATTTTCTGAGAAACAACCATGTTGATTTCCAAAGTGACTGTATAAGTTTGCAGTCCCAGCAACAAAGGAGGGGCTAATTATGTTTTAATTGCCTTGGATATCATTTCATTTATATTGATTTTGTTGTTTTTAGATAGAAATTCAATTGTCCCATGCTGGCCTTGGACTCCTCATATTTTTGTCTCCATCTCTCAGATGCTGGAACTTTGGGGAAGGTGTGACTCTGCCTATATGGTCCTTTTTCTCTGGAAAGATAGCACCCATTCTCATTTCATATGTGTTAGTTGGTAAACCTAGTGTCTGAAATTCTAGGATTTAATGTACTGTTTCTGCTGGCTTTTGTTTGTAATGTCATTTTCTTTGTTGTATTTACTGAGCTTCTTCTTCCACAGTCCCAGAAACTATGTGAAGCATGATATTCACAATAGTAACTGTCTCAAGAATATTTCATTCAGTGTCTGAGAACATGGCACGTCTGGCTCACTTCCATTTAAACATGATTCTGCCAAAGCGGACAGCTAATTTACAAATATACAGGAAATTAAATTCCCTTCTCCTCCAAGGACACTCTTAAGCAGGCTGTCACAGAGGTGGCCAGAGGACAGATACTCTTAGAAGACGTTATAAAATATTCAAAGAACACAGACTAATTTTGATTTTATTAGTTTTGGTTTTTATATTTTAAGAATCATTTTATACAGGCTAGCCTCACTCCTTCTAAATCTACCTCCCAAGCACTAGAATTGATGGTGTTTTTCACCATGATTGGCTACAGAGTTAGTGAATTCATTTATAGTCTACATCACCGCACAGAGTCAGAAATGGGCAGGTGGAAACATTTGGAGTGAGGTATCAGCAGCTGGGAGGAAACCTGCATTCAGATTAAAACATCTTTGTAGACCTTGACAATGCTACAAACTCTCCACTGAAGGTGGTATGAGAACTTGGGCCACAATTTAGGATTCAGCTTAAAAGCCTCGTGGTGAGAAGATTTCTTTCACCACCACAGTTATTTTCTCCAGTGTGAAAATGCAGTTTCACATTTTAGTTTAGACACCTGCTACAAGGTCAGTTTCTAATGGATCTAGAAAGCATGTGTGAATTTAACTTGTGTTTCTTGTACAGAGGATCATGTGGGAATCACCATGGAAGTAAAGTTTAGAACTCATGATGAACCATGTATACCTTCTGAATAGTTACTGTCTTCTGGGTCTTTTCCTCTTTCCTGACATTCAAAGCGCATGCTTAATTGATTGTACCCATAATCATACCTCATGATTGACTAATGTGTGTACTCATTTCCTTTTATCTTACCTGTCCTGTCTATGCCCCAAATACCAACTAGCATAATTTATGTCTTTTGCTGTTACTGTGGTAAATCTCAATACTCTATTTTTACCTAACTTGAATCAAGGGCTCAAAAACTGATGAACTTTTGTTGAAGCTTTATCCCTTTGACATCTCAGCCTATACAGTATGGATTTCATTCACTGTTTTACATTCTTTTGCACAGATTCTCATCAACCTAGCCTTGTTAAATCTCACAGTGTTGCCAAAAGCATTGGACCTTGTCCTGTGTTCCACATTTATTTTTTTATTATTTTTAAAATGTCTTTATTGCAAAAAGCATCATAAGAAATCAACTTTACTGTGAAATTATCTTTTGGTGATAGCTAAAATTTTATTTACTTGAAGATGAAAAATTAACAGAGTGGAAAATATAAAGAGTTGAATTGTGATCAAGAGACCATTCTTGTTTTTATTATATTTATTTCTTTTTATGAATGTATAAAAGTGTGTGCCCATGTCACAACACATCAGTAGTTATAAGGTAGTTGAAGGATTCACTTTTTTTTCTACTATGTTGTATCTGAGGTCTGAACTCAGGTTGTCTGGTTTGGTAGCAATGGTTTCCATGCACTGAGCCATGTCACCAGCCTAATACATTTTTTTTCAAAGTTTATTAAATTATAAAAGTTTCCATTTCCGCCCCCCTCCCAACACCCTCCCACTCCCCCCACTCCCTCTCCTCCTCCCTCTCCATCCCTAAGAGCAGTCAGGGTTTCCTGCCCTGTGGGAAGTTCAAGTTCCTCCCCCCTCCCTCCAGGTCCAGGAAGGTGAGTGTCCAAACAGACTGGATCCCAAAAAATCCAGTATATGCAGAGGAAACAAGTCCCAGTATCATTGTCAATGGCTTTTCTGTTCAGAGAATCCGGCCACATTCAGAGAATCTGGTTGGATCACGTGCTCGTTCAGTCCCAGTCCAACTGGCCTTGGTGAACTCTCATTAGATCAGTCCCCTTGTATCAGTGGGTGATCGCACCCCTCGCGGTCCTGATTTCCTTTTTCATGTTCTTCCTCCTTCTGCTCCTCATTTGGTGTAGTATGGAGCTGCGGGCAGGCCTGCTTTTCGCCTCATCCAGCTCCCGCACGGCTAGCTTAGTCCCAGAAATAACAACACACAAATTGTATTCATTTCAGCACTGCTTGGCCCATTATCTCTAGAGAGTTGGTTACTGACTAACTCTCATATCTTGATATTAACCCATTTCTAATTATCTGCCACGAGGTGGTGGCTTACTGGAAAAGATTCAGCATGTCTGACCTGGTGGCTGGCTCCATGGCTTCTGCCTCATAGCCCTCTTCCCAGCATTCTGTTCTGTTTACTCCGCCTACCTAATTTTCTGTCCTATCAAGGGGCCAAGGCAGACTCTTTATTGACCAATGAAAATAACACAATAGACAGATAACCCTCCTCCATCAATTTGGACCTTGGGGGGCTCAGTCCAGTGCTCCAATGTGGGTCTCCGTCTGTATCGCCATCCATTGTAGGATGAAGGTTCCCTCTGGTCTTGCCTTCTTTGCTCACGTTCTCTTTTCTTCTGCTTCTCTTTGGACCTAGGGAGTTAAGTCCAGTGTTCCAATGTGGGTCTCTGTCTCTATCTCCATCCATCGCCAGATGAAGGTTCTATGGTGATAAGCAAAATATTTATCAGTATGGTTATGGGCCAAGGTGGTTCAGGCACCCTCTCCTCTGTCCAGAGAACAATCCGGGGATCTCTCCTTGGACCTGGGATCCCATTTATAATCAAGTTTCTTGTAAACCCTAAAATGACTCCCTTAGTTGAGATATATTCTTCCCTGATCCCATATCCATCCTTCCTCCCTCCCCCCCATCCCAGTCCCCTGAGCTTTCCCCATTCCTCCCCTACTCCCTTCTCTCTAACTCTCTCCCCTTCCAACAACCCTCCCACCCCCTCATGCACCCGAGGTTACCTGGGACTCTTGTCTATTGCCAATACATTTTTTTAAATGAGTTTAGAGAAAACAAAAGAACCTTTAGTAAATTACTTACAATTAAGTCCATATTCTGTATATTTATGTCAATAAACGTTTTTAAAATCAATGAATACACCAATATAAGATTCATATTTTAATAACTGCCCATTATATGTTTTGCTTTATAGAGATTTGATGAAATTAAAATTATTAAAGGAAAATGGAGGCTGTGCATGTCTCAGTTTTCGAGGAATACATGAAGATGACTGTGGTACAAAACACCCTTGCATCTGTAAAAACACAATGGATAGATTTCCCGATTCAGTGTACAGTATGAAGTAAAGTAAAAAGTGAAACATTTTATCACCTTTGCTGATATCCTGTGATGATTTGTGTCTGCTTAATGACTAAATGTTTTAAAGACAGGGCTCAGTCAGCTGAGCAAATATGGCAATGAGCTGGAAATGAAAGGAATGCTCTGCTGAAATCTAACTACACACTGCAAGTCATCTTCCTTCCTACTAAACACAGAACTTATGTCTGGAGAATGGATGCCCTTTGTTCCAAGCCCTAAGGATTCACTCCTTTGTTTCCTGAATGCCACACAAAAACAAATGCACAACCCTGATAAATATCACAAGTAACTCATCATCACTATGATAAACCATTTCAATATTCCACTGCATTTATATCACAATTAAGAACTAGGATGCAGTTTCAGGGTTCTATTGGTCAGTTGGTTGCTTAGTGTTTGTAATTTTGCTCTCTCTCTCTCTCTCTCTCTCTCTCTCTTTCTCTTTCTCTCTCTCTTCCCTCTTCTCCTCTTCTCTTTCCTATCTGTCTCTTTCTGTTTGATCAATTTGTTGATAGGTTGAAATCCCCTAGATACAGTAATATTCTTTGGGGCCAGATGGATGTCAGGGCTCAGACTTATAAGTTTGAATGCAGTCTGGGCCACATAGTATGCTTCAGGCCATCATGGGCCACAAAAAAAGCCCACTCTGTCTCAGGAAGCATAATAATAGTGATGGTGGTAATAATAATACTGAACTGCCCATAAATATTTTCTAAACTATTTCTACTCTAACATCATACTAAAATGATAAAACTCAAGAAATTTAGTATTGACCTAGTCATATGATCTATTCCATACTCCATATTAATAATTGTAAGTTTTCTGGGTTATATCACTATTGATATTTCCTCACATTCACTATCATTTGTGCTTTCATTGTAATGCCCTTTAGCACTAAAATGGTTATAAACTTATGATGCCTTCATTTTTTGACCCTGACATTAAAAATATCACATTTGACCTTTGAGTGTATATGTAATTTAATGTCTCCACTGTAAGTCATTTGGCATGAGTTAAAAAACATGTCCATATCTTCATGAACCATTGTGCAGGTTAGTTTTATGTCATTTTGACACAAGCTAGACTCATCTGAGAGGAGAGAACCTCAATTGAAAATGAACCTCAATAAAATCTGGCTGTAGGGAAGCCTATAGAGCCTTTTCTTAATTAGTGACAGATTGAGAGGGCTCAGTCATTTATAGGTGGTATAACCCCTGGACTGATGCTCCTGTGTTCTATATGAAAGCAGGCTGAACAAGCCATGGGAAACTTCCAGTAAGCAGCACTTCTCCATTGCCTGTGCATCAGCTTCTGCCTCCTGGTTCCTGCCAAGTCTGAGTTTTTGTCTTGACTTCCTACAATGATGAACAGCAATGCTGAAGTGTGTGAGTCAAATAAACCTTGTCCTTCTCAATATTCTTTTTGGTCATTGTGTTTGATCACAACCATAGAAACTCCAACTAAGAGATCAATCAAACCATAATAGGGCGCTTTATTTTTGCCACCTAAAGTTCTTTTCTACTTCTTGCCCTACCTGGACCCTGTAAAGTAGACCTATGCTCTCCTGTACTGTAAATTAGGAAGGCATAGTCCAGAGTGTCATATACTAAATAGAGATTTGTATTTGGCTCTATTTTTCACTGCATCTTCTACTCTTATTATTTTTTTAGGTAACTTGAGCTTGTTACACAGATGAGAGGTTCATTTTTCTTTTTGAGTGTTACAAAAACACACCATGGTATTTCTCCATTCTCATATGAACATATGATGTGTTCCTAAGTTTTAACAATTATGAATAAAGTTCTCATGCCAATTTATGTGAAAGTCACTCTATGAAACACAATATTTATTTTTATTTTGGTAAATATCTAGAACTCTAATATTTTTTCAGTGTTAAGTGCATTTTCATTTCACTAGGAAGTTTTCGCATGTTTTGAATGGGGTACATCATCTTACTTTCTCTGCAACATGTGAGAGATCCTTTTGCTTTTCATCTTTGCTAAAACTTGATATTATCAATGCTTTTAAACTTTACCATCTTGATGAATTGAGGAATTCTCATTTTTCTAAGAACTAGGATAGCAAACATCGTTTTCAAGTATTTAAGGCCACTCACATTTTCCTTTGTCAAATATCTATCCATATTTACTCACCACCTATTGGGTTTGTCTCTCTTCTAATTGTAACACAGTGAGAACCTGTATACACATACATACACACACACACACACCTTTATATGTGTGTGTGTGTGTGTGTGTGTGTATATATATATATATATATATGTATAGAGAGAGAGAGAGAGAGAGAGAGAGAGACTGAATTTGAATGGAAATTTTTGATAGATTTGTATACAATATTTTCTACTGTCTAGTCTTCATGTTCTGAAATAAATCATTCAACAATATAAAATTAACATTTTATTAAAATTTGACATATAATTTTTTATTCTTTCAAAATAAATCTTTATTTATATCAAAATTACAAAGGTTTTGACAGTGTTACTTTTCCTAGATATTATGTAGTTTCAACTTACACATTTAGCTCAAGGTAATTTCTTTTATTTTGATTTCATTATTTATGTATTTCTCTGTTTGTGTGATTGTGTGGTCATAAGCCAAGTGTGCATAGGTACTTCAGAGGCTGGAAGAGGGCATTGGGTCCCCAGCTGAAGTTCCAAATGGTGATGTGTCCTTGAGTTCTGGGAACTGAATTGAGGTCCTCGGGAAGAGTAAAATGTTCCCTTATCTTTTTTAAAAATCATAACAGATACTTATTAGATACTTCCTGTGTGTTCATCAGTGTTCAATACATTTGAAACAGACTTTGCTTTACAGAGCAGTTTTATTTCATTTTGAATATATTTTAACTGAAAATAGAATTTTTAACACTGTACATTGTTATTATGATTTTTCATATATGTCTCCTCCAAGATCTTTCCCACCTCCCTCTCCCACCTAAATATATATCCTTCATTTTTCTCTCCATTTATTATACGCACAGATGTCTAAAAATAAAATAAAATTAGACAAAGTTTTAAAAACTCAGATTTGTACAAAATAAATAGAAGAAAAAGAAACAAATGGAAAACTCAAGAACATAAGTATTCACAGAGGCAGATACATTTGCAAAAACAGAAAACTCATACCCCCAAAAAACTAGAAACCATAATATATAAACAAAGGAACTAAAGAAAATAAAAAATCCTGACAACATATTAAGAGACAGCCTCCAAAAATACTGTTGAATTCATTTTGTGTTGGTCTTCTACTGCCCAGCATTGGACCTGGGCTTGAGAGTAGTCTGTATACCTAGTGAGACTCTAGAACACTAATTTTTCATTTTCAAGTGGTTAAATTAATATTTAGAGAGCTTTTGGTTTAGGACTGTGTGCTTGTGTCCATTTTTCATATTGGCAGCAGAACCACATCAGGCCAAGACATGTGCAGGTCCTGTGCATGATGCCAAGTTTCTGTGAGTTCATATGTGTGTCTGACATGTTGTGTACAAAAGGCCTTGTTTTTTGGTGTCTTATATCCTCTCTGGTTCTTACACTCTTTCTGCTTCTTCTTACTTAGAATTCCATGAGACTTGAAAGGAAGAAATTGATTTAGACATCCATTTATATCTGAGAATTTCAACCTGTCACTTTCTGGATAATATCTGCATGTGGGTCTCTGTATTTGTTCCCATATGTCTCAAAAAGAAACCTCTCTGGTTATGACTGAGTGAGAAATAGATCTACAAGTATAGTAGAATGTCTTTAAGAGTCTTTTTTATTGTTGTGTTCCTTTAGTAGAATGGTAATATTTGTTTTTTCCCTGTGTCCATGACCTGTCTAATCTCAGGGCCTTGGCCATCCAAACTGTGTTATGTATGGGTTCCATAAATCAAATTTTTGGTCACTACTGCAGGTTTTTTTGCCACTATTGAGCCATCTTGTAGGCAGGTAAATTTTCTGGAATGATAGGTTTTAAATTGGTGTTTTATTTTTCGCCTTCGATAGCATGTAGAGTATCTTCTAGAAGCCTTCCACACCAACAGAGGCCAGGTTAGAATCCTGAACTCCAGCGAAGACTGTCCCCACACCTCACCCAGACCTACCCAACATAACCCCAACTATCCCTCCTTTCCTTGTCACTACAACCCAGCTCATACCTTGGAAAGTATCTTCTTCTTCCATCAGAGGCCAGGCCAGCATCCTGAACTTTAAGATTGAACCCCAACATTTCCCTTGCTTGCCCAGTATAACTCCAACTGCCCCTTCTCTCATCATTACCATATCCCTGCCCACACCTCTGATGAAAGCCTTCCAATCCATCAAAGACGAGGCCTGCTTCCTAAAAGTCAGTTATGCTACACGCTACCCGTCCTACCCAGCCTATAGCCTGTGCATTACCAGCAAAATTCCAAGTGCTCCTCTTTTTCTTGGTACCTTATTCTAGCCTACACCACTGGTGAAAGACTCTCACTCTAGCAGTGGCCTAGCTGGTATCCTGAATCTCATAAAAAAGTGTCCCTAAAATTTTTCTCATAGGAATTCTGCATTTATCCTCAAATAATTTTGGAAAATATACGTATGTATGCGAGTATATCTATATATGTGTATCTGTATTTATGTATGTGTATGTATTTAAAAACACAATGTTGACTTCTGTAGGCGCAGCGGGCGATGACGTAGAGGAATGTGCCCTCTATATGAGATTGGGGAGCGCTGGAGTTGGCCTTTTCCACCCACTCCCCCCCACCCCCGGCCCCAGCCTCTCTGGCTGCACCATGCTGGCTCGCGCTGTCAGGCTAGCGCCGCCGTCCCCAGCCACCACCATGATCATCTACCTGGACATCATCAGCCACGAGGAACTTTTCTCTGACATCTACAAGATCCGGGAGATCGCGAACGGGCTGTGACTGAAGGTGGAGGGCAAGATGGTCAGTAGAACAGTAGGTAACATGGATGACTCGCTCATTGTTGGGAATGCTTCTGCTGAAGGCCCAGAGGGCAAAGGTACCAAAAGC